GCTGCAGCAAGGTGGGATAATGTGTTGGGTGATGCAACTGTTGAAGGAGGTAGAAACTCTGGTGGATGGCATGGACCAGCCATGATCATTTCGTGAGAGATCTTCCATTGCTTGTTGTCGAAGTTGTCGAAGTTGTCATCTTCATGATCCCATTCATCGTCGTCGCTGTCCGTTGTGGTACAATAAAATATCACCGCTTTTTACCTTGAAGGTGGAAGTGCGACAGGTTAATTCTTTGAGGTGCTGAATTTCTTTGAGATTGTGGGTGATCTCTGTGCACGTTTTGCATTTGTCTGCAGTTACAAAAATGCACCGCTTTGCGTTTCTTGCCTGTAAAAGTTGGCTCCTGTCCTTTCTGGCCAAAATGTGGCTTTCTCCGCATGACCACGTACAACTAGCAGCAGCGGTTTAGATTGAGAAGCCATAAATGAACAATTTACTAACCAAGGGGACCACATTTTGTTCGTGGAGGCTCAACAACTTCTCCCCATGGTGAGTTTGCCCAGGAGGAAGCTTCAAATTCCTTCATTCTTTCGGCTAGGGTTTCATCTGAAAGCTCGGGATATAGGTCTTTCGCTTTGTGTGAATAATGGACCGTCAGACATTACCCATGCAAAAGATGCTGTAGACTCACCAGAAGTACTAGGTTCTGGGCAGGCTATAGCTACTGTCTGACATAGCTGCAGACTGCATGAGAGATTTACGGCTGGGCGGCTTAGGCATTGGGTTGGAACCTAGGAGAGCTTGATGGGTCAAACGCTAAGCATTCGATGATGTAAGGTCACAAGAGTCAAACATTGGCGTTCAATGTTGCAAATGGATGACTAGCCAGAATTACCAGCTAGAGGTCCAAGAGTGTGCTAGGTCAAACATTGGTGTCTGACAATGATGAAAGTAGTATTTAATAAATGAAATGAAATGCTCGAATCTGAATAATTTTGTCCACAAGTGGATTGACGACATGATCCACATGCGGTGACTAAATGCGGTGACAATAGGTGATACCTTTTTAGGTATGAGGTCAAGCTAAACGCTACTGAAGTATCCTTCTACCAGGCCATCTTGGAGTTCTGAAATGGAGTTGGATCTCTCATCATTGGATAGACATTGGTGAATGAGCTTGAGGATGCTGGGGGTGTGAGGGGGTAGTGCAGGTGCTTTATTGGTATTCTTGAACCCAGTGACAATGCAAGTGTATGAGGGCGCATCAGGGAACTGACATATGAGCCATGGCAAAGTTTGATAATGCTGGGCTGCACAATGGCGCCAATTTCTTGACCTTTGGTAGACTCATTTTTAAAAAAAAAATCAAAATCAAAATTTAATTAAACGCGTGGTTAGTATACAATGCATAGGTCATACTACAGCAAAGGGGAGCAACAAGGAGATAACTTAAGAAGGAGAGAGATAGAAGAGAGAGGTAAGGTCCAGGTCCAGATTCACAAATGAGGACCGGGACCACAAGGGAGGGCCAAAAAAGTGAGAGGGAAAGTAGAAAAGATCATAGTGTGGTAGCATTGAGTGTTGCAATGTTTGGGATAAAAGATGGCCAGACTGGGGTTTGAATCCAGGACCTTCTGAAAATGCCCCAGGAGCTCTCAATGATGACACTGCAGAGATTTCTCCGTAGTTCATTCCAGTTATTACGGTCGTCGACACTGACAATCTTGTTCTGCATATTCAGAAGTTGCTCCATTCTCTGCAAAATAGCAACGACGGTGTTTTGTACAACAGGAATACAGTCGGTAATAGAGTGGGAGACATAAGAGGTTATGACTTCGTATGCGAAAGTTTGGAAGTTCGCTTCATTTGTGGTGATCTCCATAACCTTAGGGTTAGAAGTATGGCGAAGGCAGGCTCTTATCACCCAGTGCCAGGAATTTCCAGTTTAAGAACACAATGGTCAAGGTGAGTCATATCATTCAAGTTCTCGGCCACCCATATAGTTGGGGTCATGGGGCAGGGACGGCCAGTGCATAGTTGCCCAGTAGAGGTGGGCCACCCATATAGTTGGAGCCATGGGTCAAGGACGGCCGGTGCATGAGTGCAAGCGGCCAGTTAACTGGTTACCAGTGACCATTTGCCCGAGAACTGATAGTACACTTACAACTTGTTGCATATCTTCATCAAAATTGTAGTTTTCTTACAATATCTTATCCTTCAGCACCAATTTTCTTGTGCTTTTATTTCACTTCACCTAGCTTTGTATTTGCATGTAGCCCAGTGAATTTATGATCTGATTTGGTCAACTCTATCTAGGAAAAACTGTCTCGCAGCTTCGCCAATTTCCTGACATTGGTGCCAGTCATGAGCCTTGATGTGTGCCTCGATGAAGGGGATTGACAGCAGGCACGATTGCATCTGCGACAGCTTGAGCCATGTAGTTGAGGAGTAGTCAAGACTGTCGTCCCTTGACTGTTGTAAGGAGCAGATTCCACTACGACCTCAGCGCGATAACGGCCGATTCAAGTAGTGAGCCTAAAATGTTCAGTTCAACCCGAGGGAAGCAGAACAAAGCAAACCGAATTGCTGCCTCAGTATAAAATATGAGGGGTGCGACAACGAGTCAAAGGGCGGCCAATCCAATATGTGTTCAGCGTAAACGGTTACCCGTAAAGCCGACCAACTATAATTTCTACCGACCACTATGCGATGCGCGAGCGAGTGCGGCCGACTTAGATAGATGATGGGGAACGGAAGTTTTAAGACGAACGTGCGGACGGACACGAGAATAGGATCAGAAGAGAACGGAACACAAAAGACACGGCTTCTGAGTGAGAATTAACTGAATTGCAATAATGGGCGAGCGCTCCTTAAGTACAAAATCAGCTACTAGGTAAATAATGGAGATAATCATCGCTTGGGATGTCCGGGCTACCTCGTGGTTTGCTAGAAATGTGTGCGGGACATGCGGTCAATCGTCCGTGATATGTACGGGGATATGTGAGAGTAAATCGGTCTGAGCCGCTTAAGGCGACGTACTAGGGAGTTTGAGAGGTAAAAGTACTGTATCTGTCAAATAAACCAAAGAAGAATATACTACGCACCAGTGGACAAGGATTTTATGGATATGGGGTTCGACTGAGTATCTGTGAGCTAGAAAGGCAAAACACACGCGCGACCGACTGATGATGCGTGTTGATTCGTCGTCGGCTGATCCGCTTGTGTGAGCGGCTTGAACGCACATGAGCGGGAGTTCGATCGGAAAGGAGTTGGATAGAGCGTGTGGGGTCGGGTGAATATTGCAGTGGATCGGTACATCAAGGGAGTACCATGTCGGTGCCGATCCGCATCCTACACCATTATGCAAAAGCCAGTGATAATGAAAGCTCATGCTTGGACAGTATTTATGGCAACTCAGGTATACGTAAGCAAATGGGCTTACACTGCATCGTTTATCATTCATTAGTCATTAATGCGCTGCTCCAATACAAGAGTCAGGGGTTATTGCCAGACTTTGACCTACGTTGATGACTTTGATGACCAACTTTGACCTACATTGATGACTTTGATGACTGACTTTGAATGGAACACCCTGGCACGCTCACATCGTCTATATGTTCTGAATAATGTATGCACATCCTTGTATATAATTAACTAAGACTGTGACTTCTTTCTCATGAAAGTTGAGAATATGCGGTTCTATCGCATGGCCAGACTTTACATGATGATTGAAGAAAATGCTATGGACAAATAGTATTACAATGCGCTGTTCTGCAGAAAATCGATGCATTCTTTTTCGACAGCACCAATAAATTTCCTCATCAGGTTCTTGTAGTAACTCATCTCGCTCTTCCATTGTTTAGCGCCCCTCAACTTGGCTCACCCTTCACGTATGGCTTTGAGCCTCGACTGAAACACATTTTCAGTGGAATGGTTCCAGTACCCAACGTCCAAATCAGACGACGACCATTGTTTTGGGGTAGGCCACCATGATGATATTGCCATCTGATTGCCTCTGCCTGTTAAGAACAAACTAGTAAGAAAATGACGTTAAACGTGTAAATAAAACTGACCGGTAGCAATGTGATAGACATCACAGAGAATGTTGATCTCATCGTTGCTCAGAGTATCAGAGAGATACCATTTAGGTGCATTGGGAGATGTATCTGCGAAAAACTGTACGTCTTTGGAGGGGCCATTTGGTATATTGCTAGCAAGCTCCTGTTGATGTCAAGCAAGAAGCAGGAGATGAAGTATCGAATGGCGAATTCATTTTTGGGTTGCGTGAGGGGGAGGTTTATTTCCATGAGGTATTTACGAACGGTGTAGATCTCGCTGAATTGGGCATCCTGGATGGCCGTATAGTTGCTTTGGGACTGTATTTCTGTCTGCGAACAGCACACAAGTCCGTAGTGACTGCTTAGGACGTCTTCCAGTGAAGAAGCGAACAAAATGTCCTGGGAAATCTCGCGATTATAGAGAATGGATCTTCCGACCTCATTGTGGTCAGATGGAAGAGTAGGGGGGTGTCTTTATCTTGGAATGAGCGACGGTTACATCCGAGACACCAGAGTTGTTTGTATTTGGTTTGTCAAATTCGAAACCAGGGTTGCCATCCAGTGCATCGACATCGCATTTGAAGAGGGAGCATATATCCCATTCATTGGAGATCTCGTCATATACAAACTGCTCCTTGGGTCTGGTCTCAAATTCCGTCTTGGTGTCTTCACAATTGAGCTCTCCCCAGAACCTCCCCTTCTTCGAATGATACCAAAGGAAAAACCAAGTTCCATCTCGCCACGAGGGTGGGACAAACTTTGCAGCATTTTGAAGTTGCTCTTGGACACGGGCTTTGATGTTGTCAGACACAGTAGAGAGGAACTCTACGCGCTTTTTTTCCCAAACCTCTACAAGCGCAGTCCATCAATCCAAAGAGTTGGGATTGGTGTCAGATGGGATGGATGGAATTGCTTGAGAGTTAACCTTGTCGATTGCTGTTCTGATGCATATGAATTTGTCTTTTGTAGGTGACACTTGTATGAACTAGTAGTTTTTGAAGGTAGCAGGGTTGTAAGGACCTTGCGCTTTGCCGACTATCACCCAGACCGGGACTTGTATACGATTGAGCCAGGGATAAAACGCCCATTGCACAGTGTGGGTGGGTCGAAAATGACGCCGATGCAACGCCTGAG